TGCAAAATTTTTTTTTTTTTTTTTTTTTTTTAATGCTGTGCTAGTGTGGAACCCTGGGGCCTTGGGTATGGGAGGCCTGCCACTCTAGAACTGAGCTACCTCCAGCCCCCTGAGTTAGCTTCTGTTATTTGCATCTGGGTCTCTAATGATTGTGATCTTCCCTTTATATACAAGGTATAGGTGTCAAGGCCAAGAGAATGTGTTATCTAGCATGTGTCAAACCCAGAACTTCCTACAAGCATTTGTTTACTAAATAATATTCTCATAGCCAAATCATTATTATCTAGCACTTATTATTGTGCTAAACCTTCTGTATATGTTCTTTGATGAATGAGTTAGATACTGGGAAAGATTATCTGCAAGGCACAATGCAGTTTCCCAGGGAACTTTATTACAGAGCCTGCCAGTCAGCCATTGCACATGAGCAGGGTCAGGAACAGCATTACTCAGATTCTGAAGGGTTTCGGTATAACATATAGGATTTAGCTATATTTATACCATCAGAAATTGATGGTGTGTGCTGTGATGTGTAAACCTTCTCTGTGATTAAGCCCATGAAAGGAGCAGCTGTGGGAGTTGGATGTGTTGAGCCCCTTGGATGGGAGCCTCCCTCCTCACCATGTTTACAAAGATAGGGCTGCCTTGTCTGGGTGAGGGACAGGAGAGTTGGAAGCCAGCCTGCAGCAGTCACTGTGGGGACAGGGCGGGTAGACAAAAGAACTGGAGCCTGATTCTCTAACTCCCCCTAGTGATGACGCTTGTAGTTAGCTTTGAAGAGTTCCATTGTGACCCTCAGCTGTATTTGAGGGCTTTGGGGTTTTGCTGGTTTCTGAGCTAAGAACTGAGATAAGAATTAGGTTCTGAAGGGCCTGGGATTTAGCTCAGCGGTTCTGCCCCCTGCTTTGCAAGTGGAAGGTCCCTGGTACTTAAAAAACAAAACAAAACAAAACAAAACAAAAAGAGATTCTGAGCTGGGCGTGGGCGTGGTGGCTCATGCCTGTAATCCCAGCACTCAGGGGGCAGAGGCAGGAGAATTGCCGAGAGTTTGAGGCCACTCTGGGCTACATAGTGAGTTCAGGGCCAGCCTGAAGTATAAAGTGAGACCCTGTTTCAAACAAACAACAAAAATAATAATAAATAAATAAAATAAGAATTAGGTTCTAAAGTGAGCTTGCATGCCCTCTCTCTCGGGGCCTGCTTAGGCCCTTGTTGACCCTCAGCACTGCCCTATCTCTAAATGGTCTGAGTACTTAGGCTTGGCAGAGACAGCTGGTGTAGACACAGGTGGGCACTGGGGATAGCAGCAGGGTGTGGGTCTGGTCTTTCACCCACTTGAGCTGTTCTGTGTCCTGCCTTCTCTTGGCACTGTCACCTTACCTTCATTGGCCAGGGCCGTCAGAGCACTGACCCCCCATTCCTGTCTCAGCTGAGGCTCACTTGTATAGTAGACGCATCTCTCGAATAAAGGCCAGTCACTTCTCAAAGACTCCGGGCTGTTCTTCTTTGGTTCTGCTGTACTGTGGGGCCTTTTCCCATGCTTGAAGTAGAATGGCATTAAACAGCTTTTCTTGGAAAGTCATGGCTCTCAAATTGTTAGAATAATTGCTTCTTTTACAGGTCTCCAAAACAGATCCATCCCCGAAGAGGGAAGCACCTACCATGATTCTTTTCAATGTGGTATTTGCGCTGAGGGTGAGTGTGGTATAGATGGTTTCAATCAGGGAGGAGGGTTGCAAGGAAAAGGAGCCCATTTCCAACGAGTCTGTCATTGCCTTAACTCGGGCTGGTGGGACATGGCACTGCCTTTCCTGGTATGCAGGCAGAGCTGACCTTATTTTCCCCTTTTTTATATTTTTACTTTATCTTTAAGTTTTTTGTGTATGGTATTGGGAATTGAACCCAAGGCCTTTGCATGGAACTATAGTCCCAACTAGCTCTTTTTAAACTTTATGTCGAGATAGGATCTCACTAAGTTGCCCAGTTTAGATCTTCCTGTCTTAGCCTTCCAGTGTGCTGGGATTCCGGGTGTGCCCCGCCATGCTCCCCCTTTATTTTAATACATCTAGCAGGGTTTAACATTTTAAATTGTAAAGTTTAGCGGCACCTAGTACATTTGAAATATGTATCACCTTGTCTCACCACCTCTCATGCGTCTTCTCACACAAGACCACTCTGTAGATCTAGAATATTTTCACCACTCTAAAGAGAAACTCCAGCACCCATCAGCCCATCAACAGTTACTTCCCACTCTCCCATCCCCTCCAGCCCCTGGAATCTACCAGTCTGTTTTCTGTCCCTGTGCATTTATTCTGCATGTTTCATATAAATGGGATCATCTAATACCTGACCTTTGGCATCTGGCTTCTTTCTCTTAGGAAGTTTTTAAGGCTTATCCACGTTATAACGTGTATTGAGAGCTCCTTTGTTTGTTTGGTTAGTTGGTTATTTTTGATACTGGGGATCAAACTTGGGACCTGGCGCTTGTGAGGCAGGCGGTGAAACCACTGAGCTAAGTCTCCGGCCCTGAGAGCTTCTTTTTATGAACACATAATCTTCCATTGTATGGGTAGGCCAGAATTTGTTTATTCATTTGACTATTGATGGATTTTTGAATTGTTTTATATTTTGGCTATTATGAATAAATGATGCTAGCTACAGGAGTTGTGTACAAGTTTTTATGTGGACACGTGTTTTCATATCTCTTGGATATAGACTCAGTAAAATTTCAGATCATCTGTTAACTCGTGTTTAACCTTTTGAGAAACTTTCAAACTGTTTCCATAGCAGCTGTACTGTTTTACATTCTCATCGGCATGGATGAGGACTCTAGTTTCTCCACATCATCAATACTTGTTCTTTTCCATTGTTTTTATTAAGCCTAGTTGTTTCTTAAGGCTGTTTGTAGCTCTGAAGTTGTTTTCTTGAATAACAGAAAATGCATTTGCAATAAACCTGTTCAAATATAAGGGATCTAAATCAACAAAAATGTACTAGTAAGTAAAGATTGCCTTGTATTATGAAGGGACTTTGAAACAACAAGGAATTTTATGTGTGTTTTTTTGTTTTGTTTTGTTTTGTTTTATTTTGGTACCGGGGATCGAACTTGGGATCTTGTGCTTGTGAGGCAGGCAGCGGAAACACTGAGCTAAATCCCCAGCCCAGAATTTTATGTTTTGTTAAATGAAATTCCTTTGAAATATCCCATTGTCAGATTTTCAGCCAAGACACTAGCAACTCCAGCCAGGCACACATGATCTACATAGCGGCGTATGCACAGAAAGTAACAACATCATGGTGAACCTGTATGGCACTTGTGTTATGGTGTTTTTCTTTTAAGACAAAAGATATTAATGTATGAGTTGTTTTTACTAAACTAAAAACCTCAGTGTTGAGGTTTAAAAAAAAACAAAAGTAACAATAAGAAATCACAGGATCGGGGCTGGGGGTTTAGCTCAGTGGTTCTGTCGCCTGCCTCACAAATGCAAGGACCAGAGTTCGATCCCTGGTACCAAAAAAAAAAAAAAAAGAAATCACAGGATCGTGGGAACAAGGAGCAGTGCGTGCTCTGAAAACACTCAGAGAAAGGAAACCTCAATTAGATGCCATTCTGTGTCTCAGAGTTTTCTGTTGAGGCTTACTTGGTGTGGAGATGCAGATCTCACTGTAAATGGCTCAAATCAGAATAATACAGAAAAGGCCCTTTAAATAGAGCTTAATGTCTTAAAATTGGATTACCTTTTTAATAAAGAAAGAACTGCAGATTAGAAAAAATAATTTTTCAGGGCTGAGGGTGTAGCTCCGTGGTGGAGCACTTGCCTAGTATGTGTAAGGCCTGGGGTTCTGTTCCCCTTGCTGGGGAAAAACCTCCAGACTGGGCTGAGAGTATAGCTCTGGGCTAGAGGACTTGCTTAGCATGTTCAGGGCCTGCAGTTTGATCCTCAGTACCACAAAACAAAACAAAATCCAAATGACGTAGTAATGGTGGCTGTCCCAGGTACGAGGTTCCAGAAGTCATTCTTCATTTTCTGCCTGTACCTTTTCCACAGCGTTATGTTTACAGTGTTCTTATATTTCTTATATAAATTACATAGTACAAGCAGCTGCAAACAGAAATTACAACAAAAACAAACCCAAAAAGTGAATAAAGTGAAAGCGAATAAACAAAAATTACCATAATTGCAGTCTGCTTGTCAACACCATTAACTCCCGTGGGATGATAGTGAGTTGCAGCCTTTGTTCTCCCTGGGATTGCACGGGCTGGTGACTGCACAGTTTCCTCAGATGCTGTGAGGACCAGCATTTGTCAGCTGAACATACAATGTACTTAGACCAGCAGTCCTGCCATTAGGACTAGAAAGCAAGCAGCACTTATAATTGTCTGGGAATTTTTTGGGTTTTTTTGTTTTTGTTTTTTTGGTATCAGGGATTGAACTCAGGTCCTTGTGCTTGCGAGGCAGGCGGCGAAGCCACTGAGCTAAATACCTGGCCCTGTCTGGGAATTTTTATAATAATTAAGTTGGAAATAATTTTGTAGTTGGGAATGATTAAACACTGCTTATTACTCTAGACTGCCCTGCCCTATGGCTATGAAAGATGAAAAATGTGGGCAAGGCCAGAACCTTGAAAAATATAGAGTGATTAATGCCACATAAAAGCAGCGAGAAGCTGAGCATGGTAGCATACTCCTGTAATCCCAGAACTCTGGGAGGCTGAGGCAGGAGGATCACAAGTTTGAGCCCAGGTTGGGCAACTTTTTATTTTTATTTTTCAGTTTTGGCTTTTTAAAGGCTGAGTCTCACTATGTAGTTCAGGCTGGCCTTGAAGTCACTATGTAGCCCAAGCTGGTTTCAGACTCGTGGTGATCCACCTGCCTCAGCCTCCTGAGTGCTGGGATCACAGAAGTGTACCACTACACCTAGCTCAGCCTGCACAATTGAGCAACTTTGTAATAAAAAAAAAAAAAAAAAAAAAAAAAAAAAAAAAGCTGGAGTTGTAGCTTTGTGCTAAGGCCCTGGGTTCAATCCCTAATACTGGAAGAAAAAAACCAAAAAAAAAGCAGAAGAGATCAGGATAGCATAGGACTTTAGCTGGCTATGATTTTGAATAATGGGGAAAAGGTTAAATATTATAGAGTTGGTATTTTAGAGCAGACAGTTTTTTTTTTTTTT